GGTGCGTCTTATATTCCGAAAAATACGGTAAGTGTTTATAAATAATACAGAAAAGCATAACCAACAGAAAATTGTGTATTGCTTTATAGTTATACATTTTACTCTAAACGATACATTTTACCCAAAGTAAACCTCAGTTATTCACCGATTGATATTTTAAACATTATTGTACCTTTCTTTAATTGTTCATCAATTGGCGTTTGTTTTTTTACATTATTTTAGTCCCCGAAATTTTGAAATTTCTGCCAAACTGATGTATATTGAGATTTTTAAATATTAAACTATAATATTTCATATTTTGTTAAAATATAAATGCGATATAATGTAGTTTTTGTCAAATTAAAAATATTCTGCTTTCAGATCAGATAATTTGGTGATTTTTGTCCTAAAACTATTACATTTCAGTCAACAGATACCGGAAGAGGCACGTTCGAGATCTCCATCACGAACCACTTAGCAGTCCTGAGGTTCAATTGAACCAATTACGTCAGAATGGAGGAATGTTTACTGACTACAATCCCAACTACGAATTCGGTGGCAGTACGTATACAGTAAAGGATCTGAACGAAATCCCCCGAGAGAACCTTACCTTGGTCAAGTACGTTGATCTGAGTATTACGAAATAAATAAAAGTTTTATTTTATTTGCTTTATATTATTGATGAAATTATTTCAGTGAAGTTAAAAGTTGTTCGTCAATACAATCGAGAAATAAAAGCTGTATTTTTTTTCAGGGCCTTGGGGCAAGGTGCTTTCGGAGAAGTATATCGTGGTTTTTTAGGTGACATTCCGGTAGCTGTGAAGGTAACGTTGTTGCTGCTTAAAGGTTTTTTTTTGGTTCCTTAGTAACTGAAAATAATGTTATGTAGTAATATGTTTATCACAATTAGACAGGTTATTTTAAACTAGTTGCACATGTTTATATGCAATTGTAATTTTAAATGTTTAAAGACTAACAAACTACACCCTTTCACATTGCGGTTAACATCGATATTTGGTCTGATTTTTATTGATAAAATATATTTCCAGGATAAAAGATAAATTTCTACCCTTTTCGAAGAAAACTTTTACTGTTCCTATATTATACAAAAAAAAAGGTTCCAGAGGTAAAAATAAAAAGCATTTTGAGTTTGGATGGTGTAATGAGCTTCAGAAAGTGAGTGAAGCTCGTTATGCCATCCAAAATAAACCATCCCCAACCTCTAAAACTTCATTTAAAGAAACACTTTAAAGTCAAATTCAAATTAAAACATTTATAGGATGACTTTGGACAGTGTAACAAACTTCAGTACAGTACAGCTACAATATCAGTAAACGTCGTCTCCAAGCCACCACAGAAGTTTTCTACTGAAATACCAATATTCTCCATTTTTTAGGGAAAACAAAATCTATCGATGTTTAAAAATTCAGTTTTTGGATAGGTTACTTCGTAATAGACTACGACGTTTTCGTCATATGCTGACTTGAGACTTCAAATCGTGAAAAACATTGCAAGTAATTTTGTAAGACATTATACTAATTGAAAAACGTTGGTGCACGTCTCCCAGCTAGCCACAACAATACTCAACACGAAAATTTATGGAATTTAAACGTACTCGAACGTTAGTTCTTAGATTCAACATTGATACTCAACACTAAATCTGTGGAATTTAAACGTACTCGAACGCTAGTTGTTAGATTCAACATTGATACTCAACACTAAATCTGTGGAATTTGAGCGTACTCAAACGTTAGTTGTTAGATTCAACATTGATACTGACCACTAAATCTGTGGAATTTAAACGTACTCGAACGCTAGTTCTTAGATTCAACATTGATACTTAACACTAAATCTGTGGAATTTGAGCGTACTCAAACGTTAGTTGTTAGATTCAACATTGATACTCAACACTAAATCTGTGGAATTTGAGCGTACTCAAACGTTAGTTGTTAGATTCAACATTGATACTGACCACTAAATCTGTGGAATTTAAACGTGCTCGAACGCTAGTTCTTAGATTCAACATTGATACTCAACACTAAATCTGTGGAATTTGAGCGTACTCAAACTTTAGTTGCTGGATTCCAAAGATTTACCTTATAGTTATTAATTATACCACTTTTATTTTTGCCAAGACTTTACCAGAATTGTCCTCCAATCAAGCTGAAATGGACTTTCTAATGGAAGCTTTAATAATGAGGTAAGTCTATATTTTACATGTAGTTTAATATTATTACAATTTGAATTTTCATAGCTTGTAAAGAATTCTATAAAAACAAAAAATCTATTAAATGTCTCGTAAAATTGGTGGATAACTCGATCAGAACGTTTGCACTGATTGTAATGTTTTGAAATACGTTTAACGTTTACGTATAAAAATCAGAGTTAAATAAATAGAGTTCTTTTACTAAGCGTCACATTAGATATTCATCTTGTAGTGGGGGAGAAGAGAACGTTTCGGTGTCTTGGCATGTTAATCTCCAAACAATAGGTAATACATTCTTGAAAACTCTAGAAAAACAAAAGCTTTTAAGTCAGTCAAAGTGTCACTTAGAAATAAGATCATATGCTGTATGTTAATTTCATTCATGTATTCAATATATATTGTAAACGTTTTTTTAATCATATGGGAGTTTTAACGTATTTATTTTATATGCACGATGACTAAAGGATTGATGAAAAATGTATATATATAACACTAACTATAGAATTATTAAAATAAATATTTCATTCGTTGCACAAATTCACAAAAGTGGCTTGTGATAATATCACTAAAGCTTTGATTGAGGTAGAATTTTGTGATGACATTCCTAAAGGTCTGATTAGGATATGAATCTGGTACAACATGCTTGAAAACTAAAATTAAAATATGGAGCAATAGTCCTATCCTTGGAGCTCTCGTCTTTATAATTCTGTTGTCATATTTCTAAAAGTTTGATTAGGATATGGATCTTAGATCTCTCTGTTCAAACTGTAGTCCTGTGTCACGTTCCTGAAGATCTTGTCATATTAGACATTACTAATCAAATTTATAGAACTCAAACCAAAATCACCTAAGAATTTGGTGACATACTCACAAGAAACGTGTATTCAATCAGGACATACAAATTCAAGAAACAATAACTCAATCAAAATATACAAATTCAAGAACCAATAACTCAATCAAAATATACAAATTCAAGAAACAATAACCCAATCAAAATATACCAATTCAAGGAACAATTATTCAATCAAAATCCACTAATGATTTGGACTTTTAAATTTCTAGAACACTTCAATATCTAATATATATCTACTCGATATCTAATAAAAGATGGATTTTTGTTGTTGTTTTAGTTTGAATAAACATAATAGTACGTTTTACTGTTAACTGTTTAATAAACCAGCTCTGTAACATTTATTATTTTCAGTTGTACAGCTCTTTGTGTGCTATTCGTAGTGTAACCCTGTAGTCCCAATTGTACAGATCGTTGTGTGCTATCACTAGCACAAACCTGTAATACCAGTTGTGCAGATCTTTGTGTGCTATCCCTGGTACAACCTTGTAGTCCCAATGGTACAGATCTTTGTGTACTATCACTAGTACAACCCTGTAGTCTCAGTTGTGCAGATTTCTGTGTGCTATTACTAGTATAACCCTGTAGTCCCAGTTGTACAGATTTCTGCATGCTATCATTAGTATAACCCTGTAGTGTCAGTTGTACAGATCTTTGTGAGCTATTCTTAGTGTAACCCTGTAGTCCCAATTGTACAGATCTTTGTGTGCTATTCCTAGTATAACCCTGTAGTCCTAGTTAAACAGATCTTTGTGTGCTATCACTAGTACAATCCTGTTGTCCCAATTGTACAGATCTTTGTGTGCTATCCCTAGTACAACCCTGTAGTCCCAATGGTACAGATCTTTATGTGCTATCTCTAGTACAACCCAGTAGTCTCAGTTGTACAGATCTCTGTGTGCTATTACTAGTATAACCCTGTAGTCCTGTTACTGAAATAAGTTACTGTGTTGGAGCACTTTGTTTTTGAATTCCAAGAAAATTTAAAATAATAATACTTTTTTTCTCTAATAGGGGTTTCTCTGCTTGGTTAAGCAGAAAACTTAAAAATTTAATAATTATTTATTATATTATCATAGCAAATTTGACCATCCAAATATTGTACACTTTATGGGTGTGTGTTTCGATAAGATGCCCAGGTTTATTGTGTTGGAGCTGCTTCCTGGTGGTGATTTGAAGACATTTTTGAGGGAAGCTAGACCCAAATGTGTGAGTATTTTCCGTTTCGTGAATGGTGGATAGAAAAACATAGATATTAATAATCTAGCCCCTGTCTGTAAACTTTCAAAACGGCTGAAATGAACCAGGTTTCACACGCCAAATAATAAGCATTTGGGGTATTCTTGTAAAATTACAGTTAAATGTTATCGTGATTTTAATCTTAAGCAAAAAAGAAGTCGAAAGGCATTTTTAAATATTTTCCTTCAATTTAAAATTCAGTGATACCAATATTTTTATGTTCTCTTCCTCTGTTGTAGTAGTAACAGACTGAAAACACCAGATGAAAAAAGTGTGTAGGAATGGAGCTCAAGTTATTTTTAACCCTATAAAAGTAGTCTTTCAGGTTAACTCTTACAGAATGTGAATTAAAACGCTTCATGAAAATTTGACGTGAATAAAAATAACCCATACTTTATTGATTTGTTTGTTTTAGTTTTTAACAATATGATTTCGTAATATTATAATGCTTATATTTATTCCATTTCAAACTATGTATTTTTTCATTTCAACATTTGCTGATAATCATACGAGTTTTATTCGTAGTTGAAGGTATAAAGCAAAAAGATATATATAGATATACTGCTGATACAGAAATAAAGATTTCGCCATGTAATATATTACTTTTATAGATATAAAATTTTCTTGTCATGTATCATGTATCACTATTTTTAGTTGTTACTTCTGTATGATATATTACTTTCCAATTTTTCCAAATACATATACTAAACAAATATAAATCGGGACTAAAGCGTCCTTGACTGCAAACTATGGAACCCATTACCCAACCATTTCATAATTTTGTAAACTACACAACTTTAAACATTTTTCTTAAAGTACTACAAATGTACCAGAATTATGAATATTTCCCCTCACTAGTATACCGACTAGTAGCATGTAGCGTAAAATAGAATGTTTCTGGTTCATGAACAAAAATTTATTGAACTGTATTTTTCTGTTTCTTAAAATCCAGATTTAAGGATAAGAGCAAACTTTATGTATTACAAATATCTGTCCAAATAGCTATATACGTGTTGACATTTTAAGTTATGGAAAAAATAGGTTACTATAAACTGCTCGAAATACCCGTGTGTTATATAATATTGTTTTAAAACTATGACTTGCTTTCTCTGATCCTAGAGTAAATCCAATCTGACAATGAAGAAACTTTTGGCAATGGCCATGGATGTTGGCAAAGGCTGTCAGTACTTGGAAGAACACCACTTCATTCACAGGTTAGAAGACGAAAAAATAAAATAATTACTTCTGTCTTCAAGGCGAAAAATAACAGAAAAAAATCATTATTTGTTATTCTTTAGACAAAAACGTATGAGTCTTCTCAAACTTTAATCCATTGTTAGAATTATCTTACTGGTTGTTGAATAGTGAAAATGAGTTTGTGTAAGGCTACGTACATTTTAATCTGTTGTTGTAGCTTTGGTCAGTTTAATGATTCCATTACAGGTAAAATGTTAAACTACATTTACAGAATTAATACTATTGGGAAAATCATAACTGACTTAAAAATCGAGATCAACAATTGAAATCATTTATTTTATAACCACGTTTTAATAAAATATTTTTAAATATTTTTTCATACTCAAGATCATTAAAGATGCAGAAATTTAATACTCGCAAACATAAAGCAGTTTAAAGAGTAGCGAGTAACTAAACTAAAACAACCTAATATTTGCGGCCAATGAAAGTAAAGCTTGTCTAGTGAAGTAGAGCCATCATTATAAGGATAGTGTTTTGAGATGTCGTTTACTAACGCACTTATCCTGTATTTATATAAATTTTTAATAATATACAGCATTGATACCACTAATGTATACTTGTTAATTGTTCACCAGAGAAGCTTTTTAGAATACCAAAAAATAGATTGCAGTGGCATTACTCGAAATAGTAATGTCTTATATAATATTCACCCCTAGAGGCTCAGTTGTAAGTTTAAAGGGTTATAACGCTCAAAAAACGAGTTTCGATTCCTGTGGTGGGCACAACATAGATAGCCCATATAAACAAACAAATTTATAATATTGTTTTAAAACTATGATTTCCTTCCTTTGGCACAATTCGGTGGAGTTTCCCGAAACCAGAATAAGGTAGCGACAAGTCGTAAATCGAATGATAGGTGGAGCTTCACATTTGTTTTTTGGAGTCATCTTTAGTTTTGAAAGAGAGATTGGTTATGACATCATTGATTTATTTCTACTGCGTAACTTGCGTTTGCTTGTAATTTACTTCGGTTGTCATACTAACGTCATAATGTCGTAAAAATATTTCATTTGATGCGTGGTTGTGACTCTTCTGTTGTCGTCTGATATGGTTTTTAATACCAAGCAAAAGAACTATGATAAAAAGGTTTAATGTTATTACATTCAAAGCTCATTTGGCATTTATACTCGAAAGTAACTTATAATGTAAATAACATTTTCAAAACGGGATATTTATATATAGCAAAAAGTATAAGTTGAACAAATATCAAGCAAAGAAAAAATAATTAGCTATATATATTTCTTTATGCAATTCCTTATGTCATACTTGCCAATTAAAGAAATTGTAAATAATATATTCTACGAGATATTTCATTACGTGTTACGTAACCAACAATAAAAAACACAAATCAAAATAGATAGATGTATGTAATATATTTGTTACATGTAAAATTACATTCGGTCTGAGTTGGTCTTGCAGTTAGAGCGTTCGACTTTCAACGTGTGGGGTAGGAAATTGAACAGTGTCACCGTTGATAAGGAGTAGTCCAAGAGTTGACAGCGGATGGCTTACCATTTGTATTACTTTTAGTCTGTCACTTCAAAAGTAGGGGCGAGCGCAAACAGCTCTCGAGTAGTTTTTTTGTGAAATTCAACAAACAAACAATATTATATTTTATCGGGAAGACTGCAAAACCTTTTGCAACGTTTGTCATAGTAAGACTTCATAAACATTTATAAAAAGCACAATGTTAAATATTTATTTGTAATAATTTACTTATTTATTGTCTAGGGATCTTGCGGCTAGGAACTGTCTTCTCACCACGAAGGAGGGCGACCCAGATGTCAAAATAGCTGACTTCGGCATGGCCAGAGACATCTATCGGTGAGCAGTTAAAGTATTAAAAAATAATAGTCTATGTGCATTTTATGTAGTCTGTTTGTAATGCCTTTATTCACCATAAAGTAACCTCCATTTACGTTAGTGTTCAAACAATAAATTATTTTGGTTAATAACAGCAGAATAATAACCATGTAAATAAGCTTCAGTTCGTCACTGAAGCATGATTTTGTTTAGATTTGCCCTTGTCTAGGTTTAATGATGCAAGGTGGAATTCCTGGAAATAGGTTTATCTCGTAACATATATAAATTCATAAAATAGATCAAGCATCGCGATTTTTTATATAAAAATTGTACAGTGTTGATGATTAGGAATAAATCCAAAGTCTACAACCTGTTTATCTATTTATTTAATCATAAAAATATTGTCCTTTCTTTATCAATTTAACTCCCCGAGTTTTAAATATATATTATGTTTATAAACAAACCAACGAAATACAAAGAATCAATAATGATGACGCTTTTCCTAAACTAAGAAAACTGCAGAAAGATTTTTGACCTGAAACTTGAAAGGATAAGTATCTGGATTAAGTATTCAGGTATCTTAATAAGTATTCAAACAGCCCCAGCGACGTTCTAGGAAGAAAGGATAGAAAGAAATTTGCAGTAAAGGTCTATTGAACTTGTTCCTTTCAGAGCTGATTATTATCGCAAGGGAGGAAAGACCATTTTACCTGTGAAATGGATGCCACCAGAAGCTTTCTTAGACGGCATTTTCACCTCAAAAACGGACGTGTGGTAAGCACCGATGACTTAGAATGATAAACATTTTTTTGTTTGTAAGTAAGATTTTAGATTAGAATCTACTGTAAAGATTTCCTCTGGAGCATTTTTATAATAGGAATGTGCCCGTGTATGAACAGCTGATATCAAATGCTTAGATAAGCTTTCGGTTCAGTCCGCCTGCTTGCTTTCGCTTTCAGTATTTGCAATAATGTGTGAACAATATGTGTTTGAGCAAAATTTGGGGCTCAAAGTATTCGGCCTAATTGTATTGAGTAGCATAAAAACATTTGATGAAGAGATGTTTTGAGAGATTTGTTTCTCATTATTTCAGGTCCTTCGGAGTCTTGTTATGGGAAGTATTGTCACTAGGTTACATGCCGTACCCAGGCCGAGGTAACCAGGAAGTAATGCAGCTAGTGACATCTGGTGGAAGATTGGAACCTCCTGCAATGTGTCCAAATCCAGTGTACGTTTATTTCTTGGAATTGTAACGAGTTTTTCTACCGATAACAATCGAATATTATAATAGACATATTTCAACTGGTTATAAAACTAATGTCATTTATAAAATAATAAGCTAAAAAACACAATAGTATTTAGATATAGTGTTGTTTCAAAAATCATTGATTCAAAACACATACGTTTACTGCAACATTTTCGTTAAAGGTAACTTCTTCAGCATATTACAGCTTTCATTTATTTTATACTCGTAGGTAATGATAGAACATATTACAACTTACATTTGGTTTCTACTTGTAGATACCATGTAACATAATGCAGCATACAGCTTTTGTACGTGTAAGTAATGATATAGTTACTATAGTACATTACAGCTTTTATGTACTTGTAGATATCATGTAACATAATGCAACATACAGTTTTTGTACTTGTAAGTAATGATATAGTTACTATAGCATATTACAGCTTACAGCTTTTATGTACTTGTAGACATTATATAACACAATGGAGCATACAGCTTTTGTACTTATAAGTAATGATATAGTTACCATAGTATATTACAGCTTACATGTACTTGTAAATATTATGTAACATAATGGAGCATACAGCTTTTGTACTTATAAGTAATGATATAGTCACTATAGTATATTACAGCTTACACGTAATTGTAGAAATTATGTAACATAATGGAGCATACAGCTTTTGTACTTATAAGTATTGATATAGTCTATTATCGCTTACATTTGGTTTCTACATGTAGATATCAAGTAAAATAATACATCATGCAGCTTTTGTACTTGTAAATATTGTGTAACATGTAGTCATGGTACAAACTGGTAGTTTAATAGAACGTATTTTACTGGTGTGATTTATAGTTTTCATGAAAACATGTTCTTTTCTGCAAATATAAAAATCTTACCACAACATTTAGACATATATAACATTTATCCTCAATACATAGTACCACCCTGCAACATTGAGTTCTTCCAGTCTTGATACAACATGGAATTGTGTTACAAAATATAGAATTCTTACAGCTTTCAATATCATTCCACATACAGTTAATTTGTAACTCATAATCCTGTTGTCGCAAATAATACTAATATGATATACAATCCGAAAACACAGTATTGATTAAACACGTAGATTATTGTAAAAATGTAATGTGCAGTTATGTTGTATCTTGTAGTATTGATGTAACATATAGTTATGTTGTATATTATAGTATTGATTTGATATCTAGTTATGTTGTATAATATAGTATTGATCTGATATCTAGTTATGTTGTATAATATAGTATTGATCTGATATCTAGTTATGTTGTATAATATAGTATTGATCTGATATCTAGTTATGTTGTATAATATAGTATTGATCTGATATCTAGTTATGTTGTATATTATAGTACTAACATAATGGGGTATAAAATAACAGCATTAGTAATTTTTCGGTCAATACATTGTGCTTGCCGCATGGTTAACATTTAATAATAACAGTTTAGATTTTACCATTTAACATATAAGCCTGAGGAAACTTGTAGGATTACATATTTACTGGAGTGTTTAGTACTCTTTATATTCTATCTATTGGTGCATTATACGCTACTATGGCAGACGTTAAAAGTACAATAAGCACTGACCATATGATGTTAAATAAATTATATTCGTGTTGTTTTACGTAAAGTTTTATGTTTATGAATGACAAGATGACCGAGTCAGCTTCAGATGTATATTGTTTAATTCAACCATCTTTATACTACTTCCTCGTGTAGCTAACACCTTTTCTCTAACTTGAACTTTTAATAGATTTGTAATGTTTAGTCCGATATTGTGTAACATGTAGTCATGTTGTAATGTTTTGGTTAGATATTGAGTAACATGTAGTCATGTTGTAATGTTTTGGTTACATACTGTGTGACATGTGGTCCTGTTGTAATGTTTTAGTTAGATATTGTGTAACATGTAGTCATGTTGTAATATTTTGGTTAGATATTGTGTAACATGTAGTCATGTTGTAATGTTTTGGTTAGATATTGTGTAACATGTAGTCATGTTGTAATGTTTTGTTTAGATATTGGGTAACATGTAGTCATGTTGTAATGTTGTGTTTAGATTGTGTGTAACATGTAGTCATATTGTAATGTTTTGGTTACATACTGTGTGACATGTGGTCCTGTTGTAATGTTTTGGTTACATACTGTGTAACATGTAGTCATGTTGTAATATTTTGGTTAGATATTGTGTAACATGTAGTCATGTTGTAATGTTTTGGTTAGATATTGTGTAACATGTAGTCATGTTGTAATGTTTTGGTTAGATATTGGGTAACATGTAGTCATGTTGTAATGTTTTGGTTAGATATTGTGTAACATGTAGTCATGTTGTAATGTTTTGGTTAGATATTGGGTAACATGTAGTCATGTTGTAATGTTGTGTTTAGATTGTGTGTAACATGTTGTCATGTTGTAATGTTTTGTTTAGATATTGGGTAACATGTAGTCATGTTGTAATGTTGTGTTTAGATTGTGTGTAACATGTAGTCATGTTGTAATGTTTTGGTTAAATAGTGTGTGACATGTAATCATGTTGGAATGTTTTGGTTAGATGTTGGGTAACATGTAGTCATGTTGTAATGTTTTGGTTAAATAGTGTGTGACGTGTAATCATGTTGGAATGTTTTGGTTAGATGTTGGGTAACATGTAGTCATGCTGTAATGTTTTGGTTAAATAGTGTGTAACATGTAGTCATGTTGGAATGTTTTGGTTAGATATTGGGTAACATGTAGTCAATATCTAACCAAAACATTCCAACATGACTACATGTTACCCAATATCTACCCAAAACATAACAATATTACTACATGTTACCCAATATCTAACCAAAACATTCCAACCTGACTACATGTTACACACTATTTAACCAAAACATTACAGCATGACTACATGTTACCCAACATCTAACCAAAACATTCCAACATGATTACACGTCACACACTATTTAACCAAAACATTACAACATGACTACATGTTACCCAATATCTACCCAAAACATAACAACATTAGTAATATGTAGTAATATTGTTATGTTTTGGGTAGATATTGGGTAACATGTAGTCATGTTGGAATGTTTTGGTTAGATATTGAGTAATATGTAGTAATATTGTTATGTTTTGGTTAGATATTGGGTAACATGTAGTCATGTTGGAATGTTTTGGTTAGATATTGAGTAATATGTAGTAATATTGTTATGTTTTGGGTAGATATTGGGTAACATGTAGTCATGTTGTAATGTTTTGGTTAAATAGTGTGTAACATGTAGTCCTGTTGTAATGTTTTGGTTAGATATTGGGTAACATGTAGTAATACTGTTAAGTTTTGGGTAGATATTGGGTAACATGTAGTCATGTTGGAATGTTTTGGTTAGATATTGAGTAATATTGTTATGTTTTGGGTAGATATTGCTCCCAGGGTTTCACTGCATATCTCTTACTTTAGTTATATATTGTTTACAATAGGGATTCCCAATCGCCGGTATATGAATGAACTTGTGCCGGTCCGCAAGACAGTTGAAAAAAAATTGTTTTAAAATATAGCTTCTGAAGTGTATTGTTTTACAATGTGTTATAAAAGTACCTTAAAAAGTTGTAAGAAGTGATCCTTGACATTCGGGATCAGAACGAGTTTATTCCTCTGCCGGAAAGAGGTTGAGAACCACTGCTCTATAGGATCTTAGCAAGTACCTCTTTCTGTAGTTACATATTATGTATGTCATCTTAGCAGCTACCAAGTACCTCTTTCTGCTTACACATTTCACTTAGTAACAGCTTCTATAGTTCTATACTGTTCCCTGGATCTCGTCAAGTTCATACCTAGATATTGCTTACAAGATCTTACCAGATATTTCTTTCTGTACTTATATATTGCTTACAGATCTCAATAAGAACCTATCTTTTGTAGTAAAAGTTTGCTTACAAATCTCAATAAGAACCAATCTTTTTTAGTAAGATTTTGCTTACATATATCCATAAAACCCATCTTTTGTAGTAAGATAACTGCTTACAAATCTGAATAAGAACTTCTCTTTCGTTGTAAGATAATTGCTCACAGATCTCAATAAGAACCTATCTCTTGTAGTAAGAGTTTGCTTATAGATCTCAATAAGAATCACCTGTCTTTATAGTAAGATATTTTTTACACATCTCAATAATAAACTTTTTTTATAGTTGTATTTTCTCACATATATCAGTAATATCCCATTTTTGTAGCTTGCAAAGCCCATTAAGAACCTCTTTTTTGTAATTAGACTCGCACATCTGATTAACAATATATTATTTTTGGTACATATATATTGCGTGCAAGATCTTATAATGAACCTAGTTAAATAGGTACCTTTTCTGTAGTTATATATTATGTATATCATCTTACCAGGAATCAAGTACCTGGGTCTGTATTTATGCAATGCTTATAGGGTCTTATCAGATAACAAGTGCTTCCTCCTCCTTTAGCTATATTCTGTGTATCGCTTAAATATATCAGAACTAGATGCCTCAATCTAAATTTATTTATTGTTCACAGATCTCACTAATACCTTGTAGTTACATATTTCCTGCATGTCCACTACGTAATTTCGTTCTGTAGTAATATACTCCTTATACGTTTCCACTACATCTTGTTTACAATGTCTTATCATTTACCAGGTACTTCTGCCTGAAGTTATATATTACTCAGACCTCACTAGGCTTGTTTTTAGTAACATATTGCTCACAAGGTATTAATGGGTACAAGGTACTTATTCTGTAGCTATACATCACTTAGATTTTACTAGGTTTGTTTTTAATAACAAATTGCACACAAAGTATTAATGGGTACAAGGTACTTATTCTGTAGCTATACATCACTTAGATTTTACTAGGTTTGTTTTTAATAACAAATTGCACACAAAGTATTAATCGGTACAAGGTACTACTTTTTGTAGTTATGTATTGCTTATATCTCACTAGCTATTTCTTGCTATGGTTACTTATGATGTTACGAAAACACGCAAGTTCAAAAAATCAATAATAGAGACGGATTAAAAACCCAAGCGCTTTCGTAAAGTAGACCTTGCGAAAACGCTCCTGTTGTATATGATTTGTTATTTTTGCCTTCTTATAGATATATATTGTCTACCAAACTTACTAGATATTTCTTTTCTGTGGTTATGTATTGCCTGAGGGACTTATAAGACACTTCTTTTCTATGGTCACATATTGCTGAAATAACAAAGTACCTAGGTGCATTATTTTTATAGTTATATATTGATTGAAAGTCTCACTAGACCTATTTTTGTTATTATATTTGCTTAGAAGATTTTATCAGGTACCTTGATCTGTAGTAATACACTATAATATATATATATATATATA